AAAAAAAAAGGTATTGCCATTGTGCAGAATATCAATATTATATCACACGGAGGTCTCTAGTCACAGCATAAAATTATTTAACGGCCCCTAGGGCTGAACGGCTTGTTTTTATACTAGTTTCTCGCGTTTATAAATTCATATTTTTAAGATTTGCACAACAAAAAAACCGAAACTTGAATTCTATTTCAAAAAAGTAATTTGTAGATGTCGCAAGTTGTGTAAATGAACTTGCCCATGCAGGTAAATATTCCGATTACTTAACATTCTGAAAAAGCGTTTCCTCAAATTTAATTCGTGATGCTGCTATTTAAAGTTCTCCCCGAAGGTTGCTAGAGTTGATCGCTAATGTATAACACTGATGTCTTCGGACCGAAATGATTCTGTAAACTTGAAGTGTGTACGGAACATAAAATATCTTTTACTCCTGCCAAGGTAACGTCAGGGTTATGTTTGAAAACCAGTGGAGAGGGAAGGAGATACTCCCTTACATCAACTAAATAGCTATGTGCGGCGCCAAGGGTATGGTATTCGAGCGATCTTGGCCTGAAATAGGGTATAGATTTGGATCTTTTGCACTCTGGCTAGTTAATAATAATATGACCCATTACAACTGAAGAATTGCAAGCCTCTTCGACTCCTCTTCACAAATGTTCACGCCAATTAAAGCCATTTCTGGTTACCTGAGCCGGAGACGTGTATATTAATTAACAATTAGATTATGAGCTCGAGATTTTAATCGCGCTTAGAAATCGAGCGAAGAATCGAATTGTTTTAGTATAAATCTACTATCTTCTTCACAGACACATCGACTGAAAACGCCATGAAGCGGCCGCCATTTGAATTGTTAACAACCGCACACTGCTAGGCTGCTCATTATCTACAACAGAATAGATAGTGAGTAACGGAGCCAATAAGAGAACGGCATTCGTGAAAGAAGGATTGCAGGTTTATACTAAATTAGTTCAGAAGTCTGAATTAGGGGATTAATGTTTGGGTCAGGTCTGAAATAGAGTATCAAAAAAACACATATTTTGGTCAAAAATTATAAGTTTATAGGGGTACCGCACAACAACACCAAAATTTCCGGGTCGAAGCTTTTCCGAAACAGGTTATCGAAACTTAATGCTCGGATTCTTTCTTGAAAGGAACACTAAGAGAGCTTCGGTGCTGTTGAGTAGTAACACGTGTTTGGTTAAACGTGGGTTGTCTATGTGAGATTTTTATAAACCTTGATAAAAGTTTCCTCACGTGCGACGTGTGAGGTGCGTGGTGTAAGGAAAAAGGAATCGTCACGAATAGGAGCCATCCCGAGTATGGCCCCTGTCACGACTCGTGTTTTGAAAGTATGACATTACGCGCCTGTTACATGAATTTGTACACAGGATCCCATCTGTAGGTCTGAGGAAAAACGTACCGTACTGCAGCATTCTTTTGTCGTCGAGGTGTTGTTGTTATCTTCTGATTGAAATCCCAATTACGTGAAAAAGTAGGGAGCATTTTTTCTTTTTTCCTGAGCGGAAATGCAGTTTTTTTTGTTTTTTTTCTTTTTTTGTAGTTGTTTCTGTTCGAAGCCTCACCGCTGATCTCTTAGAGCCTTTCACATTTGGTTTCGGGTTTTTCGCATCGAAGAAAAAAATTTGGCGTGTGCATTATGGACAGAAACGTTGGACATTAAAATTATTTGTCAGTTTTTGTAGTCAATTTTTTAGTGACGTATAGATCTTCGTGTGCAATTACAGTTGTTTACTTCTTCTTACGACAAAGTCACGATACTTTTTAGGTTCTATAAAAACTGTAAAATATTCTAGTTAATCTGTGAATATGGTGTGAGGTTTTTTAGCTTGTTGGTAAAAAGCGACTAATTCTAATTTGCAGACTTATGGTTAACTCATGAACTGCTGATACCGTGAATACAAAGTTAGCATTTTGTCGTAATTTTGTTTTCTTCTCTGAAATCTGAACAACGTTTTTTGGTAAGCGTGCGTTTTTTTGTGAAATTGAATTCAATCGAAGGAACTTGTGATACTTCTGAACAAACATCGCTAACGTAACTCGAAGAGTTTCCGACTCCTGTCAGTTCCAATCCGAAGTGGCCCGAGCACTTTGAAGTTTGTTTCGTCATCTTTCGTCATCATCGGGTCAACTTCGCCTCAAGTCTGAAATCTTCGTAGCTCTTTGGGTGATCAGCTGTGGAGTGATTTTGCTTTTAGCAATGAAAGGTAACGAGAAAAATCTCCTCTCCAAACCAGTGTCGTTGGTTGTATGCCGGACGGAGGTGGAGGTTTGCTTAAAATAAAGAGCAAAAGAGTAAACCCATTTTGCTCACTGTACCATGGCTGTTAATTGAAGGTAAAGAGAATTTTCACTAACCAATAAGAAACAGCTGAAAAAAGTGCCACTGAAGCATCGCGCAAATTAAATCTTAGCAAAATCCTAGCGGCAGCTGCATAGAATGGTTACTGTCCATTTCACCGTACCTCCATCAGTCTTCATTAAAATCCTTTACAATGACACATTGATTCGATCTAGCTACACAGATTACAAATTTTTCTTTGTAGTTGACTGTGTGATATCGCCTCAGGAATGAATCAGATGAATGATCCTCTTCTATGGACTACATAATTTTCTTCAAACCTCTGAAACATTTGTTTGACCACTAATCAGATCCCCTTTTGTTTAAAAGAAAACAACGATGTAAATTTACCGAAGCTGTGATTGGTTCGCAAGATGATTGTATCCCGACTTGACAATTGCTGATCACACTCCTGTCTTCGCCAAACGATCGATATGGAGATAAAAAGATTCCTTGCCAGCTAAAATCGTTGCTATACCTACCCAGGCCAGATCCCCGGTAAACGAAGAAAGGAACGGCGGAAAAAAGATCTTGTATTCGAGGTAAAAGACGTGATTTTTGTTTTCTCTTTGTCGCTATTTGTTTATCATCGTATCTTTATGGAAAACCGGCGTTGAAATTGTCACGAGCGACCATGAAATAGCGTACAGAAAAAATAATTTCCACGGCTCTTTTCAAAGCGGGTTCGTACTGGTATATAAAAGAAAAAAAAAATCAAAATTCGAAATGTTTTTGTTTGAATGAGAATTACAAATTGCAAAAGTAGCTCTGGTATACAGCATCAAATAAACATAAACAACGGACTAAGGAAAATAATCCTGGATTTGGGTTAAATTTTTATGAATAAACCTCAGGATTTTGTCCATGATTTCCAGTTAGTAGCTTTGGCGAAAAGTCCCAAACTATACTTCATTTTCCTTGGTAGAAAATGTCATGATTAGATTGCTGCTGGATCTGTAGCTATCGAGATGAAAGAAATCTTTTTCCAAATCCCTTTTCTGATAATGAGGTTTTTATTAGCTCAGTGTGTTCTCGGGGAGAATAGCTTTTGCTTTCTGCAAGTTCCCCTCTTTTTACTGTCAATGTAAACGCATCGAAGAAAATCATTTCGATTCTATGTTCGCCGGAACGATGTTTGTGGTTGAGGTTCATTCGCGATAAGCTAGCTTTTCGTTCTAGCGCCTTTCGTAGCAACATGCCTGACGCAGATGTTTTGCGTCCAAAGCAACTTTTCACTAACGCGACATAATTATGCTTGATTAAAATGAATCGGCTAAAAGCAATAGATAAACAGAAATTAGTTATCACTGATTACAAGCCGTGCATTTGTTGAAAGTCTTTGTGTTAGCCTGTTTGGAAAGAGCACTTTTTATCTACCATAATGAACTTTTCACCGATTACGTGGAAATTCCTTCTGTATTTTCTTCGCGTTGCTGAAATGTCAATTTCTTTTTCAACCGATGAAGAAATTAGTTAATTTCTTTGTTCAAACAGCAGGTTGTAAATCACCAGAATTTTTTGACAAGATGACGTGCACGGCTGAAGCAAACTGTACGAAAAAAGTTCTATACTTCGCAATTTGGTCGGCCCTGCAGCATACCTCGTTGCGTCCCATTATTAAGATTTGCTTTTCGTTTTTTCCTGTACTGTACTGTATTTTACTGTATTGTATTACATTGTACTTTACTTCACAATCAGAATGGAATATTTATAGATTGTTTTGTCCGGATTAGTTGCTTCTTTAAAACATATTTCCCTGATTGAAATAATCGTAGACTTTTTGACGCAGCGCAGTATAAAATACTGCTTTTGTCAACCTTTTAACACATGTCGAGGCTCATTACATTATTATTCATGTTTTCATGCTGTATGGACTCTTATCTTTATACAATGCAAATAATTGATCTGAGGGGTAATCGCCCTCAAGATAAACAGTACATGGTAAAAAATGACGTTCATTACAATTTCTTTGCTTTCTTCTGGGTTATCTTGATTAAAACTTGTAGGAAATTTCTACAGCTTGCCTTGGATATTATCAAACGCTTTTTTCTTTCGGACCACGTTGATCCCGCGTTAATTAAATACTCTTTTAGTAAAGGGCGGAGTCTACAGTCTTATCTTAAGTTACAGTTCACCACTAAAATTCTCTTTGTCGTCATGGGCCAAAACTGACATTGTGGTGAGATCTCGCGCGGGCACTATCAAGCGAGAGACCGCCAACAGGCAACCATCAGACGATAGTGATCGCTCCGCGAAGTGGCTCATCAAACACGCAACTTTCTCCTACAGTTTTTTAGATGAAGATACAAAGAATATTTGACGGAAATTTCACGGACATGGACTGATACAGTTTTCTTTGTTGCAGACTGAATCAGTGCAGAGTAGAAAGCCGGATACGTCATGGTATTACGACTTCAGTGAACCGATTGAAAACGACAGAACGAGAGTGAGTAGCTAAGAAAGGTCTCCTTCACTCACATCACGCATTCCCAGTTCCCTCTATGACACACACCAGCAGGGAATCATGGTAGTTGTATTTATCAAAACAAATATTCAGTCCAAGATGATGAACGCAACTACCATGGTTCCCTACAGTCAAGTCAATGGGCGAAAATTGTCTAAGTCCGCGAATTTCGTTCGTTAAACGTCGCTAACGCGACGCCACATCTTTTAAGTCTTTGTAGTTTAGTGAGTCTGGTAGTGTTATAAGAAAGATATCCATAGCATTCGTTTATGAAGAACAACTTTTGCTGTCCTTCAGAGTACCAACACACAGCTGGAAATTTACCTCACAGAGACGAACATCAAGAAGGCGACGCTTGAGTTCGAGGAAGTTACGCGTCAGCCCGCGATATTCTCCAGGCGGAAAGATCATTACTGCTGTCTGTGCTGGTGTTTCTGTTGTTCCTGTGATTGGTACTGGTAAATAGAGCTCCTTCCTGTTATTTCGTGCTGTCATACGTTGTAATAGGCCATTTCATTGGTGCCTTTTACCTCTGCGTCAAAACGAGTATTCGTGCGAAATCGCTCATAAGAAAATTTGCTCCCACTACAGATTCATTTTCATGCAAATCAAACGTCATCTTCGCATGAAAAGTTTTGAACGAAGCCTCGTTTTGAAACAGAGGCAGAGGGAACTCGGAAATGGTCTAAATCTCGATCGCATCCAGAGTTATTTTCTTGAGAGCTTTAAGAAGCTTGGGTACAACTCTTGCTTCCAGTCTCTTCGCGTACGTTGTCATGATTTCAATGACGCTTTCCAGTAGGAATGAAGCTCAGATTAACATCGGATGATACCCTCAACTTTAGATCAACTCCAGCGAAAAACAGTAACTCAGCTGAAACACTGGTATGGAAAACTGATGTCAAAAGAAATGTATTCAAAACAAGAGATGATACGTCTCAATATTTCGTAAGCAACCACTGAAATGCAAGACAAAAGTCTTTGGTATAGTACCCGGTGACAAATCTCTTTGCTTCAAGAAGTCATTGTTCAGTTTTCCGAGGTCTCCTCCCCTTGTCACATTGTCGCGTAGCTTAATAGGGGAAGATTCTAATTGCTTTCTCAGTCTAATGATAATTGCGACAGCAAGTGGAATCTTCTCCTATACAAAGAGCCATATTACATCAAACGCCTGGCAACTTCCCTCAC